ATCAAGGTTAAGATCATTTATCGTTCAATTTTGCCAAAGGAATTGGTCTATAAAAGTTTCGAAAATAAATTTTGGAAAACTCAGGTAAAGTCAAAGTAGGATTAAAAAATATTTTCACCAATAATATTTTTAGAGAATATAATACATTCTATTTGGAACCGGTTTTACATGCAGAGGCAATTTCAAAGCGCACTAAATAATGTCATCATATACAGTATTCAACAGTACTAAAGCTTATGAAATTCGTTTAGGGAGATTACACCATATCTTTGTTTACCGTATCGTCGCCATAAACTTCATCGCCTCTAAACCTAGATCTCGTTCCATCCACAGTCGCTATTAGGAAAACCAACTGTTCTTTTTATCGTTCCATGATTTTCTCTCCTTTTAATCGTCTTTGTTTGGTTTTATTCACGTTTCTGCATTAAAGTTTACTTTCAGAGGCTTAAGTGTTTGCCTATTGCGAATTCAGTCCTAAAATTTTGTTTAATGTTTTGGTCAATTGACTTGGTATAGACGTTTTTGTTCATTAGACTATAACTAACGTAACGGGTTGGCTATATATACATTATAAAAACCGGACCTAAGTCAGTAACTAAGCTAGAAAGTCCATCTCACCAAATTCGACACTTTTATCTCATTCATGTTAAACTTTTTTTTACTTAAGCTACGACAAGTTACATAGTGTTAATGGATCCTTTTATCCTCCATTTGGACCAATGATGAAACATTATTGTTATATTCGATCCGTCCAAAAAAAATTAATTTTTTCTCAGGGGGTCATTTGGTAACTGTCTAAGCATTGAGTGGGACAATGAAGCTTCAATAATACAACCACCAATAAATAAAATTATTAATTGAATTTCCGACGGTTTATTTCGAAACTAATAACAGTTTTGATAATACAATGATACTATAATCATATCACTAAAACATCTAATATCAATGTTAATTTTAAACACAAAATATATCATATTGTAATAAAAATCTCACCTTGAATTCAAAACAGTATCTAATAAGGTTACTTTTTACCAACTCAAGCAAGAATAACGGTCAAATAGGTAACGCGATTTACAACATCGAAAAACTAGAGAAAACTTGTTTAGAGAAACAAGTTTCTTCATGTATGATGCATGAAGTAATCTCCTTGGTTTTCGTATGGAGTTTATATCTACGATGAAGCCATATTTCCCTTTTCCCGCGCGCGCGAATTGGTTTCCCGCGCATATGTGATGATGGCGGGAACACCTCCGACCATTTACTTTAATTTACTGCGCGGTTATATTTTTCTTCCGCTGCCGAGAAACTTTGGGAATCCTGCCAGTTTTATTTTGACCCTTTGATAAATGTTGTCATATTTATTTACGACTAGCTTTTCTCAGCATAAAAATAGTGCGATAACACTATTGACTCCATATTGCTATACTGTAGGGTTTCTCCTGGTTATAAACTTCTGAATTTTATAAATTACCTTTTTAAGGTGGTGCAAAAGGTGCAATTAATTAAGTTAAAAATTAGTTAATTAATTCCCCTTAACTCGACTAATGCTTTTTGAAGAAGTTGGGTTAGGTTAAAAGGGGTAGGTTAAAGGGAACATTCATTATTATCGAAGATTTTTTCTCGATATATCGATATTAACGAATTGAAACCTATCAGCTGACAACTACGATAAAAGAATATTGTTAAGTATCAACAAATAAAAATTAAAAAAAATTTCAATGAAACTTTTCTAAGCCAACCTAATAAAACTTGCCGTAACATAATTTTAAAAAATCCGTTTAATATTCTCCACTTGTCTTTTCTGTTATCAAACGGAATTTTTAAATTTTACAGCAAGTAGGTTGGTCATGTTAGGTTAGCTTAGAACAGTTTTATTTCTTATCCATATAATAGACTATATTTTAGCCTAAACAAGATCAGTTGTCAATTTGTAATGGATCGTAAAGAAAAACAAAAATATCGATACATCGAAAAAAATCATCGATAATAATGAATGTTCCCTTTAACAGGAAAGTACCCCTATGGTATATCCCATAACGTCCTAGGACACTAGGATTTAGGTCGGAACTGTTTTACACATTACTTCAAGCTAGTTCTAGAGGGTGCGGCATTTTCATATGAATAAAATCCGTTGGTAATTGGTGGGATTTGAACCCGGGACCTGGGGCATCCAAGCCCCACGCTCTACCGCCAGACCAGCTCGCCCCTTCCCCCCCAAAAAAAAATCTTTGAAAACCCAAGGCTTTTATACGCTAAATATAACTTATGTACCTTCAACCATATTTTTTGGAGGCAAAAAACCTTACAAAATTTAAAAAGGAGTGTACATGCACCATTCAAAGTCAATGTCTAGACTAAAGCTGGGTTTTTATGTCCATGATGTTGTTTCAGTGAATTCAATTAAAGTCTGAGAACAAAATGAATAAATAGAAGCCAGCCACGTGATCATATCAGCAGCGCACGTCGAGAAGGTGTGCCAGACACTCACAACATATAATTTTCCTGCAATTTGCAATCAAGTTCAAGGACTTGTTGTGCAATTTCCCCTCCTCCTTCATAACCATTAGGCGCCAAGAATCAGGATAACGCTTCGACAGGATTTGTTTTTTTATTTCCTTTAACATGCCCCAAGTGGACATGCTCACCAAGGCTCGCTGGTGTTTCATTGTTAGGTATAATTTTGACGTGCTCGAATATATTGAATCGTTGAGGAGGACTTAAATACTTAACATATTGTTTGTTTTGTATCAATGAGTTATCTTAATGTTTAAAGCTTTCGTTAACTAATCAATCATATGAAAAATTAGTTATATTTCTTAAACCCAGGAATTACTATGTTGATTTGCAATTTTAATTTTGAACTAGTCAAACGAAAAGCCATACGAATCGACACAAATGAAAGTATACGCTCCAGGTTTTGTCATTGAACGAGAAGTCTATATTTTCAGGGCAAATTCAAAGTTTAAAATTTAATCCACAGATTGAAGCGGTTTGAATCATAATTAAACAATCTGGCCCGAAAAAACCTGATTTGTATTTATATTTTATAATTCTTCAAAAAAACTTCCAAATCAGCTCTTTTGGCTATTGATACAGACAGACTTTCGGGCCAGAGATGCAATTTTGTTTATATTAATGGTGCATACGAGTCTAGCTTCGATTAGTGCGGAAAATACAGTGTCCATACTTCCCAAATCGGGATTAGTAATACCAAAGATTACATATGCTAACGCAAAATATTTTGCGTTAGCATATGTAATCTTTGGTAATACCATAGACTAACCAACACAAGTAGACTTCTCATACCATTGTTAATTTTGAAGCTCGTTTTTCATGTCTAGTTCATGTACGCCACACGACACTAGGCGCTAGTGTCTACGAAATTTTGTTTCAATTATTTTAGGGTTAATTTCTTGATTTGTGCTTTACTGTTTGGTTAAATAACTAGGGGACAATTTATTGTTTATGATTAGATTGTATTATTTGGTTAAACGAGGTTTTAAATGTCTGTATTAACGGGAAACAAATTGTAAACAAAACATGACCTCTACATAAACCGTACAGAACTAACAATAAAATTGTCTTCAGCTGTTCCATTAGGATGAGAAATCTACTAAGGGAGTATGTTTTATCTATGGTAATACTATACAGGGTGTTTTTTTTTTAAACTTGCATCTTTATTTATGTAAAAACCGCAATAGATAGAAATATGCAATTTGCGGGAATCATCTATTGACGTAGGGGGGCCAATTGTTTTGAATTCAACGTTACATTCACATTCCCCCCCTTTCCCCCCCTGCCCCCAACTTATTTTTTTTTAAATAGCAAGGTACCCCTTGTGACATATCAAATGAAAGAGCATGAAAAAAGAAAATGTTTGATGAAAAAAATTAAAAATCGGTTCATAAATTTGCGAGATATTCCCCCCCTTCCCCGAAACTTGATTTTTTTTTATAGCAAAGTACCCCTTGTGACATATCAAATGAAAGAGCATGAAAAAAGAAAATTTTTGGTGAAATTTATTTTTCATTTGATATGTCACAAGGGCGGGTACCTTGCTATTAAAAAACAAGTTATGGGTAGGGGAAAATGGGGGGGATTATCTCACAAATTCATAAGCCGATTTTAAATTTTTTTCACCAAAAATTTTCTTTTTTCATGCTCTTTCATTTGATACATCATAAGGGGTACTTTGCTATTTAAAAAAATCAAGTTCCGGGGAAGGGGGGGGGAATATCTCGCAAATTTATGAACCGATTTTTAATTTTTTTTCATCAAACATTTTCTTTTTTCATGCTCTTTCATTTGATATGTCACAAGGGGTACCTTGCTATTTTAAAAAAATAAGTTGGTGGCAGGGGGGGAAAGGGGGGGAATGTGAATGTAACGTTGAATTCAAAACAATTGGACCCCCTACGTCAATAGATGATTCCCGCAAACTGCATATTTCTATCTATTGCGGTTTTTACATAAATAAAGATGCAAGTTTTTAAAAAAACACTCTGTATTATTTTTGTGAGGCCGTTATTGTGTTGACATGGACACCAACTAACACCCATGCACTAATCAACCATATTGTTGAAAAGGTTTTTGCGCTAGATCGATTGCTCCGAACAATGTTCGGCGAACATCCATAGTATCAAGGGAGTTTTTAATTATATATAGTGATTAGTGGTACGTGGGGTACAAATTACAAAAAGATGGGGGGGATGAAAAGAATCGATAACTCGTCACAAAATCAAGATTATTGTCTTGAATACAAACAACGCGACGCGAGTACATACAGTAAACTAAACCATCGCTCGAGTTGTCAAAAAAGTAGGCCGATGGACAGTGGAACAGAGAAACTGTAACCTTCATCAAATCGCCCAATTCATTCGATCCCCTCTACTTCTCCCTCTCTCCAAAGACAGCTGACTCGCTTTCTGCTCTGCCGTGCGGTAGTAAACTGAACTTTGTTATTGTTTTGGTTTGATTCTGATTCTGTCTGGTTGTGTCGCTGTGTTCGCGTTGTTGTAGGTCGTGTCTCGTTAATTTACCTTTGTGAGCCAAATTACTTTTAATATTAGTGTTCTAGTGGTTGTGATCAGTGCAAAACATGTGGAAGTGATAGTTTGTGAAAGGATACCTTGCTATATGGTGACAACGTCTTGGAAATATATTGAAAGGTATGTTTTCCATTAGAGCTTTTGTAGGTTAGGCATGGTAAGTACTGTAGCCTATTTTAAGTTTATCGGCATCAGTTTTCCAACCTTCTTATGATCATGTACGTTTTAAAAGAAACAAGTCCTTTAGGCCTAATTTTTACTTTGGATTAAGTTACCTCGATAGGTAGCCTAAATCCTAAATGCTTATAACTTACTTAGTTTTAGAGAATCATCCAATAAAATCTTAACACTTAAGTTGTACCCTTTGTCCAAGTTTTAAGACTAAGGTTGGTTATCTTACAAGCTATGGAGTTTAAACATTTTTTTCTATTTTAAAATCAAAACCATTTGTAGCCTACATAACCGCTTGCGAAATCCTGAATTCACAATAAGGGTAGACATCCGTATCTGTTGGCACAAACAACCGAATGAAAATATCGATCGATATATCGATTAGGCTAAGTAATTCGATTGATCGTTTAGGTAAGTTAAACCAACAAAACCTAACTAACCAAACGATATATCGAATGAAACAATCAAACAATCAATATTTTCATTCGGTTGTTTGTGCCAACAGATACGGAAGTCTACCCCCTAATAATACTCTCTAATTTCCAATGAGTGGCCCAACTCCACGCTGCGTAAAATGTTTTGTAGGGTCAAGTTGCAGTGTAATAGATTTAGCCCATGCCTGTTGTAGGTGAATTAAACACTTTGGTTTTATGCCTAAGTTACTTCTTACTGATTTTACATTTAAGTTAAACGTAAGCAAGTCACAAATATAACTCATAAAAGCTACTCTGCCCAATCGACTTAGCCTACGGTTAGACGTAAACATGTACATTACTTAGTTTCTCAAGGGTTTGATAGCTCGATTAACATTCGGTGGTTTGATATAACTTATGTTACTTAAGGTTGGATCACCATAGATAACTTAAATCCAACCTTCAACATAATAACTTAGGGACGTATACCCGGTAGTCTTTGACTGAACACATAGTATATTGAAACTTTCATATCTTGGAACATTGTGTTTTATGTTGAAGCAGAATTTTTTACCATACCGTCTGTCCTACAGTCCTTATAGAGCAAGTTTTTGAAGTCACTTAACATAATTTAGGCTCATCAAAAGTTTTTGTATTGTCCCCTTAACAGGACTCCAGTCCTTACCTAACTAACTAAATGATATAAAGAATAATCGATAGCCTATATCGATCAATATTTTAATTCAAATGAGAATGAGAATGAGAATGAGAATTTTATTTGGTCTTTTAAACATGCAGTTACATGCAATCAGACAAGTCATATAATAATCATCTGGCAACAATCAGTTAGGCTAACAGTCCCAGTTAGTAAACTGGGTTGACTTAGCTTAAATCACACCATGCACAAAAACAGGCAAATATAATAAATAAATAAATAGTTAAATAATGGCAACTACAATATGTTGAAGCATGAGTGTAGGGCGTAAAGTAAAGTGCAGCCCTCCATTCATAAAATAACATTGCGATGCATTTTAGGCCTATAAGATAAAACACCCTTTGCTTGTTTTTTTTGGAAGCTAGAACTCATCTTTGTTTATTAGTAAACAACTAGGCTATTGTGATTATTAATTTGAACAAAAGTTTTTTGAATTGAATTTAGTTTAATGCAGATTTTATTTTAAGATAATGCAAGTTTGGCGAAGTTGTTTTGCGGCCACGCAAAAAGCATCTCTGCTCTGAGTTGCTGGTAGAAGTGAAATAGTAGCTATTTCACTTCTACCAGAAATTCTACCATTCAGTTAGATGACTGGAATGAGCTACCGTGTAAGTGTGACTCATTAATAGTTTCTAGTGTTTAATTCATATTCAATACAAAGCTTTGACCTGCTTTTAATGTTTAAACTGACTAACCGAATGGTTACCTTTTATCATTATCCATCTTACCTACTGTACCGGTAGCCTGTTAGTTTTTGTTTATCCAATTCAAAATGCTGTTAGTTGTTAGTTTTACATGTAAGTTACAGTACATAGCTTGAACCCTCGTAAAAGCAAAACGTGGCTTTACACCCGTTGCACAGCTCGCCTTTTACTTATAATAGATTGAAGAACGCTTTATTTCCATTTAAAAGTACCTAGTGAAGTCAACAATAATTTCTCTGCATTTTTGGTTAACTTAAGGTTGATTCACACATATCGGTTCAGTCACAGTTCCGTTTCAGTCCAGCTACAGTCCAGTATCTCTGATGCATCCACAATTTCTTAGTCGATTGTCCGTCAGTTGGTTTCAGTCAGTCTTCCGCCTCTAAAATTTACAGTAGCCTAATTTACAGTCAAAATTTTTAAATTATAGGCTAATCCTATATTCTATCAAATTACCATTAGGTTATCCATCTTGTTGATTGTTACAAACGGTACTCAAAATATAAACACAACCATTTAAATAACAATAACAATATTTTCCAACCTCAAATCTAGTACTGTCAAGCGTCCGAACAATCAAAAAATATCGGAGGAAAGAAATCTGAAATTGACTGACGGGACTGCAACGGATGAGTGTAGATAGCGAGCGGTATAGAAAATCCATTGAAGAATATTTTTGTTAACTGTGACGTGCCTGAAGTGACTGGACTGCAACACTGATGTGGTAACTGATGTGTGTGAGAATTGACCTTTTGTTTAGCAAGAATAAGTGTCTGGCTTTGCATTGCCGGTAGCCCGGTAGTTCATGTAGTCAAAGTTAGGGACAAATTCATTGCATTGACGAGGTCTAGAAATCTTCCTGGATCAGATTTGTAGTACCTACCTTTGACTATACGTAACGTAGTACCCTACGACCTTCTCTTGACGAAAAGTCTCGGGATCCTCCTTTGCACACCCGACTTGATAGGGTTGATCTTATTTCGCAGTATGTATGGGGAAATAAATATATGTCTCTTAGAGCTTTTTTACAAGCCAACTCGATAAAAATAAACATTGTATCTGTAGTGTGTTGCTTAGCGTAGTTAGTAACTCTGACTTCGGTGCGAAAGGGACAATTTAAATACAAAAAAACTTTGAAGGTGTTTGACAATCGGCCAAATAATTGTCCAGATTGCCAAGTGATTATAGGGCTCGCCACCTAGTCTGAGGTTCGCTGGAGCAATATGAGGCTAGCTAGATTGAATCTGGATCCAGATGCTATTTGTTATTCCAAGGGCCATCATTTAATTATGCTATTTAACAAAAGATGGACAATAGAGTACCCTAAGATGAAACATTTAAAATGCTTATGGTGTGAGTACACGAATGAATATTGTACAGTATAAGCGTTTATAATTCGTCATACAATATGCTATTGGCGTAGATACAAAAAAGTCAAGTGCTTATTCTGTTGTAACGGCTGATCATTTGGTACAGTATGACTGATGTCCAAGTGGCATAAATTAACTTGGGACAAATCGGCTGTTGGAAGTCTTTTGAACTCTGTACGGTAAAATATTTGGCAAGTTAATGTAGGCTAATTGTTTTACTCGATAGGCTATGGTTTCCCATCTAGTCTGGCCTCCTAAACACTTTTGCTACCGATCGCCACATTTATATGACGCTGCAGTCATTTTCACAGACCATGGTTGATATACATTTTAATATTACACATCTAGTCCGGGTGTCTTGTTCAATGTACATTCAGACTACGGGCTATTGATGCAGTCAAAGTAAAAAATAGGCTACTTTTACCAACCAGGCTATCATATGACATCGCTAATCATCATATCCACAAACCAAGTGACGCACATTTGCGACAAACATCTCTGTAGATCACTGCAGAAAATTCAGGGCCTTCAAATAGACTGTTACAAAGATAATCTTTTTAATAACAGTGGTACACCCACACAAATGCGGTGTCAGTCTATTTTAATGTGACCAGTCGTCGCATATATGCAACGGCAGTCTATGGGGAACCGGCCATTGCATATGTGCGTCGCTGGTCCATATGAATGAAAAATTTAGTACCCTACTTGAGGTAGCGAACGTATTGAGCAAAAGTAGAACATTTTTCCAAAAATACAATATCGGTTGGAGTTTTTATGTGTTTAAGATGTCATCCCAACCTCCTAAGCCAATGAAATTTAATAAAATATACTTTGATTTGGTCAATTAAAATTAATTTTGTGGCTGTTATTAGTTCTGATATATCAATCATTGAAGAAGTTGGTTTCTTGTTTGAGCGCTTAGCTCAGGACTGCTTTTTTAAGTGGCCCGTACCCAGGGGGGCAAGAGGTTGTAGGTTTGTTGGGGGCGAAAGGGAGGAATAATTTCCCATAGTGTAGGTGAAGAAGGACGCAATCAACTCTCGGGCTCACAACACATCACATGAGAACCGAGGCCTGGCTGCGCTATATATTATTTGTCTATTACGCCAAATTTTAACTAATAGAGACTACAGTAAATATAGTCAATACTACATTTTCCCATTCTGAAGCTGTAGCGGTGTACTCAGCATTGTTCTTTTTATATATTTGGTTGACAAATTGGCTACCTATAGCTTGTTCACATCGAGATGCAGTGGTGTAGTGGAGCGGGATGCATGGGAACAGCGTTCCTACTATGGTTTTTCCAAAAAACCGTTCTTTCTATATATGTACTGTATTGATAGGCGACTCAAATATTTTCTACGACAACGGTGGGTGTTCCTGGACTGGAAAATATACAACTACACACTTGTCGAGATGGGATGTCTACCCAAGTCAAAATGTCAAGTCCCGAAAGTTGGTATTTTAAGGCAAGTATGAATGGAGATGAGTGTAGAAAGAGTAGCGCGATCTTGTAGTCTTGTTAGTGACTAAGGCATATTCCTTAGACACAGCTGTTAAATAATAGCCCGTACAGCTATTAATTATGACGAAAGAAAAAATAGGAAGCTGTTCACTTTTTAGCAAATTTCCTTATAGGGAAATTATAGGGGGAAGTAGTTATTACCATGGGTGGCATGGGGAGGGAGCTAGTCTAGTGGATAGAGCGCGGGACTCCGGTTCCTGGGGCCCCAGGTTCAAATCCCGC